TATTTTGATAATGACATCATTATGCCCAAAATATAGTCAATAATTAGTCACAATAAGTGAACAATAATAAGAGCCAATAATCACAATATGTGACCAACTATTTGATCAGTGTTAAAAAGGACTTTCACATACAGATATCACGAAATATTTGAAATGACAAATTGTCCCAAATCTTGTTTTGTGTACATCATAGTGGATATTTTAAACCATGTTTTGTCCAATAATTGAGTATTGCAGAAGTTTATCAAACAATTAACCTACGAATTTCAAAAAGGAAAAAAGGTTGCGACGATATTTATGATATTTGCTATCAATTTTTCGTATTTAATCATTTTGAAATTGCTATTGCACAAATGCAGCACTGTCAAAATTTTCATCCTTTAATTTGAAATAAATGTTTTCACTCATTGAAATTACAATCTATAACGACAATATCTAATTATCATTCGTATACAAAGGTAAAGCAATATTAGTGTTGTTGGAATGATTTGGTAGTGATGAATTTGATATCATTTCTCATTACTTTAATTGTACCATAACATGAAATAAGGAAAATTTTAAAAGGAAAAATTTGATTATTACTAAATCTTCGCTTCAGAAATTGCTTTGGAATGTGACTGAGCAAAATTTTATTGCATAAAAAATATTTGCAAAGAAATTATACAGCATTTATTCATTTGAAATTCCCATTTGTTTTAGGAAATCATTTGTTAAATCATTAGATTTATCTTATTAATTTTTCTATTTTCTTATTTTACTTTATTTTATTGCAAATATAAGGAGAGAAAATTGATTCAAGAAACGTTTTTTTGAAATTAATAAATTATTTTACCAAAATTGTTTTCAGTTTACACCAATCAAACAACTACTAATTCTTCAGTTGGACTCGTGTTAATTAATTGGAAGTGATAATAACGGACAAAATGAACAAAAAAAAATTTGAAACTGGTCAATTAATTTGATGTTTTTTTTAGGAAAGATTTCTTACAGACTGCATGCCTATGCAGTTTTTTATAATCCGGCAGATAGATATGAAAAAAAGTTCTGACCATTGAACAGCCATTTTTCTGAAGTATTATAATCAAGAATATGTTGACATCCTCGATGTTTTTATTAATTCTATGACTATTTGTGCTATCGTTGAAAATTTTGAGTTTGAAAAAATCATGAAATTGCGCCTGAATTTTCATAAAATTAGATTTATAAAAGTTGGAGTTGACAATATTATAACTTCCAGAAAAGTCAGTCCATGAGTTAGAAATAGAAGTTAAATAGGTCATGACAATGCGTCTCCATGCACCCGTCCTTAAATGTTTCCATGGCTACCGCCATTCCGACATCAGCAATAATTCTTGAACTTTTTGAGGAAATTATGGGGCAACTAGAGAGGCTATTGAGAATTAAAATTACCTATAGAAACAATCTCATATTATTATTTTAAAAGAATTTATAGGATATGTCAAATGTGACAAGAAGAGAGAAACAAGTAGAAATTTATTAGCTTACCTGGTTGTTGAAAGGAGGTGAACAGAGTGTGCTACCAGCAGAGAGCTATATTTCACAAAGTTTGTTGCAATTTTGAAGCCCACTAATCTATAAAAAGTATCAAATACATCCCAGTCCTTATGAAATCATTCAAGCAAAAGTAATTACTGAAAATGCACAAAAAAAAGCGACATTGTTCAATAAGGTTATCAGAAAAGTTTGCTGTTAAAAGTTTTTCAAATCAAAATTTGTTTACAAATAATGCAAAGGAAATCGAAATGATCAAGAAAAGTGATCTAACAAAGAAAAAAAATAACTGATAAGGAAATCCCAACTGAAAAAGTGATATAAAATACAGCATTTTTTTCAGTGATAAATTTAAAGATGAGTTAGCAAATGACAAACAAGGATGAATCGTTTGAAAAGTTTTACCATCAAAGGTGAAAAATTGTTTGATACTTCAAAAATTAACTTTGTGAAGCAATGCCATATAAAATTATGATAATGCGCATATATTTCTATGCGAGATTATAGATTTATTCATCAGAAGGATTAGATGATTATTTTGATAGCGCATTCTATTAAGCAATCGTTCGTCGAATAATGTCCCCTGTTGATTTGTCCCCGCCAGAATATTTAATGTCTGCTTATATTATTCGTTTAAGTTATAGTTGTATTTTGTAATCTTGTTTAAAAAAAAGTTTCATAAAGGAAGAATGCTTAATGGTTACATGCAAAGAAGGCTTAATTTTATCCAGATAAACTATTGAGTAATCTCTGATCTGTTTCATTTTAAGTATGTTAAAAGTAACAATCATCCGATGATTTTACAGTTCATCAATTTACATTAAAAGTCCTTTTCCGGATTTTAATGTGATCATTTACTTAGATTCTTTTTGTTTAAGACAAGTCTAAATAGACGAAATTCTTTACTTCATAAAACGCATCGTTTAAGTACTGGAATGTGGAAGCATTAAAAAGCAAGTAAACATACTCCTTCGAACAAAATCCCCAATACACTTAACATTCCATAATTTCTTTAATTTGTTAAACAATGTAAAGAAGAGTCTTCTACAGTAAGGCTTTGAATCATCCATTACTAAGTAAAGACCGATAGATTTGTAATAATAGAATTGAACTTTGACCCTCTATCAATGTAATAGTAATTCTTTTAAGTGCGGTACGTAATATTTCATTTTGCATGCAAAACATTGTATATTTGCATCCAAGTGGAATTTTACAAGTTTGCTATATGTAAGCTAAGATCTAATATAATCACACGGAGACAACTTATATTTTTAATTTTTGAATTCGAGAAAAGACTCATTCTACGACGGCTAAAACTGAAACATGTTGACAAAATGATAAAACAGCCAATGCTTTTGCATCAATCATGAAAAGAAAATACTTAACGGCTAAGTGCATTTATACTTGAAAGCAAGCTCTTCAAAAGAATCTACCAAAAGCCCTTCTCTTCTCGTCTAAAATTTTCTTCATGGAAACATACGCCAAGTGAATCACTTATGCGATAACTAAAAATATTTGTGGATAGCGATGAATAATATTTTCATTCTTATTGCGAAGAGAAAAGAGTTAAGAAAATTGAGGAAGGACAGAAGAATGAGGATTATTGTCGCTCACAAAGCGCAATATAGTATGCATCAATGCGCAATCTTAGTAACACTTTGATAATAAATAGAAAGGATTCTAAAACGTCATTCTTCATCTCTCTTTGAAGGTGTTGAAGAAGAAACTCCAAAATGCATCAAATTTTTTCTGGAAATAGCAATTATCATTTCCCATTACATCATTTTATCATTGTTATGCATTCATGCAAATAATGGTTGAAATAAATGAGAATTGATGAAAATACCCTAGTCATTTTATGAGTGTTACAATATCCACAGCATTTCACTGCTGATAATATTTGAGCTTAATCTGAGATTAATAACTGCTTACTTATATGACGATATTATCTAATGATTGGTGAAGAAAAGTAATTACAGTTTTTGCATTACTCAACTTCGTTTCAAATAGATATAGCCATGTTATATGTCATTGGAATGCTTCTTTCTTGTTTTTATTTTCAATTTTTGTTGATTATTTATTGTTTTCTGTTATATATATCTTCTAAAATTAATGAAATGATATTTTAAAAAAAGCTAAATTCATGTGATATTTCTCTTTTGGATTCAAAAATTGACCATAAAATAACGGAAAAAACTCCTAATATTATTAATATATTTGGTACATGAAGTCATAGCATGCTGGCGGTTGACGAAAACTTGCAAAGTAGACGACAATCTTGAAAATGACGGAAATAATGATTGATGATTGCACAAGCCTTACACATGAACAAAACATAAGCAAACAAGAAATCAGATATTTCCGCATAATCTTCCAATGGGATGGCATTTACCTGAGGATGTCTCATTCAGCATTTATCGCAGTTAAACTGTACAACCAAGATTTTTTGCCTCACAGGCAGTAATATCTCATTTATTATGCGTTAGAAAAAAAAGAAGGGATAGACTATTTGGCTTCTTAGAACGTTTTGCATCAAATGAGTACATACTTCAAATAGTTCCAAATATCAGCGTTTTATTTTGAAGATAAATATTAATCTTATATAACTATTTCAGAGTTTCAATTACCATAAAAAATATATTATTCAAATTGAAAAAGGATGAAGTAGAATAATGATGACCTGACCTCATGAATAGCAAGTCATAGATCTTGCAAGTTTTTTGCAAACAATCATTGACTTAATCATGCTTCTGGCTTTAAATCACATCATTATAAAAATCGTTAGAATATAATTCTATTTCAACTTCACATTGTTCAAATTTAACTTTTAAATTTAAGGTCGGTTTGTTAGATCGGTTGATTTCATAGGAGTGTCAGGGAAGGTAAAGTACATTTCATATCATTAACGTGATTGGTGATTGTAAGAAATTTTACCTTTTTTTTTTTAGAGGAAGTTATTTCTTTTTGTAATTTGTGAGGGGTTCAATTTAAGTCAAGGTTTATTTAGAAACTAATTTTGCATCTGATTACTATTAGTTTCACATGGAAAGCGATTCTACATTTTCAAACAACCTACTTACTTACTTCTTAATACTTAAAGCGAAATCGGAAAAGATAACGGAGCAATATATATCGATTTCTTCAGACTATTTGTTCATTCTACACTACCGATTTCAAAATAAAGTAATTTGATTACCTTAAGTCTTCCTATTCATTTTATATGAATAAATAAAACCAATCATTTAACATTTAGTGATAAGAGCAATATAAGGTAAGAGATAACTTTCATTACAGCAAAGATTATTGTAGTATGTTGTAATTAAGTAAATCGATGACCAAGATCAAGACTAAAAGGCTAGATAAAACAAATAACATACTATTTCCTGCTTTCCGATTATCACTGGGAAAGAATTAATCTATCACTGCATGGAAAGTTTGTTTTCTATTTGATTGCTTTCAATTAGAAACAAATATTTAATATTTGAAAATAATGGATGTATGCTAACTGTCCACTCTTCATTGAGTTTCATTGTCATTTTTTAGTCGCCTGTACAGCTCTTTTTCCGCCGTTTGTTCTGCCACTTCGCAGTTATATGATAATTTGATCAGTTCTGAAATGAATAATTTTTGCAAATTAAGCATATAGCTTTATGCTAAGATTATCATAGAGCTATCTAGGAAATGATTGAAGTTTAAGGACAAATTTCTTGCATAGCTCCTCAGAACTTTTTTGCACTTTAATTCGAAAAAATTTCGAAAATTAATTAAAAGGAAGTGCAACAAACGTTTTTCAGTGAGTGTTCTGGACAGAAGAAGTTGATGCAAAGTGCGAGTATCACGTTCAAATAAACATTTGCGATTTTTCCACTTCACAAAATTTGACACTTCGCTGCCAAACTGGCTGAACATCTGGAAAAAGGTTCGTTTTCAATCAGGTCATCCTCTACACCACTTGTAAAAATTAGGGTCATTTCAATTAGATTATTTGTGCAAATGCACAGTCTCACTTATATCGAATAACTATGAGATTGAATCAAAAAGTGATTTCACAGGTAGAGACACAGTTATTACTCAGATCAATATTTAGTCCTTTAATAATTCTGTTTGAACTTTTCATAGACCTTTGTTAGTGCCACTATTTGTTAAAATGCAAGCGAAACTTGGACCTTAAAATTTATGTGTCCATTTGGGAGTAATTGTGCACATTGACGATGCAATAATGATAGATCCTTCATTAGAAGACCAAAAAATGGTATGATAATCTAAAAAAAAAAAAAAAAAAAATACTCTATAAAATTAAGTGTTTTTGAAAATTCCCTGAAAATGCATCGCAAATTTTCACACTTGTGAAAAATATAAATTTAAGCCTGAATTTAATTTGAAAATAAATAAAGAAAATAACAGCCTACGGCATCGCTTTCGTTCCGAGCACTATTAAAGCGCCATATTGCCGCTTTAAGAGTTGACCGATAACTGACAAAATTTGCTGTTGGATCGAACTGATGACGAAGAATTTCAAGCTTACTTTTCTCAACACGATTCCACTGCAACTTTTCTTCTTTTCTTTTAAAACAATTTTCAAAAGAGAAGTTTGATGAGATAAAATTTTAATAACTTTGATTTGATGAAAAAAACTAAACGTTCGAAAAATAATTAAAAACACGAAGATGTATGATAAATATTATCAGCAGGCAGAGAGATGGTCCAGAGCCATTATTGATCAGAAATTAAAATCAAAACATAACACTTTCCTTATCAAAACTATTATCGAGGAAATAATGGAAAAACTGAATTTAATGCTCCCCTCTTTCAGTAATCAATAAAATTAGTGCTTGTTAGCTGTGTATACAATAATATTTAGTACAAATATCTAATTATGACTTACTTCGATATTACTTCTAGAAGTTCAACTTAATATTTTCATTATGTAATAAGTTTCGACGTAGAAAGTATCACTAAAATGTTGTCTTCAACCTATTGGAATTTTATCATAGAACTGTGCTATCAGACTTTAAATGAATTTCCGAAGAAATTCCCGCTAATTTGCTTCATCAATAACCAATCAATTAATCTTGGCACTTCTCACTTCTTTAGTCTTCCCATCCCAAATATAATTTCAATGATAATATCATTTTATGACATTTCGTTAAATTCAGACAAATCTCGAGTAATTGTATGATATTCAGAAGTTCACTCCAGATTAATTATATATATATATATATATA